TCGCTGGTCGCGGAGGAAGTGTGCCATTGAGGGGGAATAAGCATCGGGACTGAATGGTGGATGTGGAAGAATCTCACCACCGTCCATCTGTTTAAAATTCTTCTTAATCAGCCTTAGGCAGTGTGTGGCCTCGCATTGTCTTGCTGTAACAAAGCCCGATTTCGACGACCAACGTAGGATAGTCCTTTAGTTTGTCGTACACGCGGTCTAGCTGCTGGCAATATAGTTTAGCGTTGATGGCGCGACAGGTGGAACAAACTCGAAATACAGTACTCCTTGGAAATTCTGCCTGAGATAGATTTCAAGATTTGTTGTTTTCTTTCCGTTTCATATGTGAGTCAGGACTTTTTGGCCAACCTAATATTTTTAAATAAAATATGCGGTTGACTTATTAATTCAGGATGAAAATTGACAAAAAAAAAAAAAATTAAATATTATTTACAATTAAGCTTAAGAAATATTAATGATAATATTAGTCGTTTCTTTTCGGCTGAAATTAAAACAATTTTATAGAAAAATAGTTTTCTCAAGTCCGTTAGTTTTCCAGTATTGATGGGAGATTCGTTTCTTTCCCATCTGTTTGCGGTAGGGTGGAATTTCAAAATCTTGACTGTATCATCATTTTCTCTTTGAATTACACGTGCTATCCATTTTAGGTGTTGCTGCTGTTGGAAGTCCTCAAACGATACGGTTATCTCTTACAGTTCCTTGTTTGTGATTCTGTAACGCCAGTCCACGGGGTTCGAAGAAGTTTGGTCCACTCGCCGGAAATCATTTTTAATATCCGGTCTGAGAAAATGGTTTCATACAGACATTTCTGAACAAATATGGAACCATGAATGACATCCACATGAAAGTCACAATCTGACGAGGCTATACTTAAAAGAAACATCATTTGCTTTGTAAATGGTGTTACGTGTTGATAATTGTAACAAAGGAAAAAAAAGATGATTTACCACAACACAGAGCTAAATCACAAACAAATATTTAATTTACTAAAACACGACATAAAATATATACAAGATAAACAATTGTGGCCTACAAAATAGAAAACACAGAGTTACTGGCAAGTGTTACGAGGGAGAAGGAAAGGGAGTCAAATATCTTTATCACTTTAAGGCTAGTGAAGTAATCTAAATGCTATATTTGGAAATCCACAAATGTGTGTAAATAAATATTAATTTTTAGTTTGGTCAATGAAAATTAGTCAAAATTCTATTTACCAAATTTGATCCATGAAATTCTCTTTTGGGTTTTGGTTGGTCGGCAACATTTTATAGAGATTCTTTCGGCTGGATATAATAGTCCTTGAATCAAAAGCCCGAGTTGACAACCCTTTTCCAAAATCCCATTTTTATAGGGGCTAACACCTAATTTGCATATTTCTAGATGTTTCTCGAATCATTTAGATTTTTCTCGAATATACTAGAATGATCTAGAATCTTCCAAACATTCTACTTCTAATTTCTCTATTTTACAACTACTTCATGAATGAAAACTTTTTTGTAATAACAAGTAGAACTCAGTGGAATCCCTTATTATAGAAATGCATCCTCGTAACAGTGAGAACACGAAACAAATGATACTAGGTTGTCCCATCCAAATCCAGGGACTATTCACTTTTGTTGGAGGAAGTCCTCTCTGACTGACCATATCATTAGGGGTATACCAGGGCCCTCTCTCTCTTGTTGGATGAAGCCCTCTCTGATTGACCGTGTCATCAGGGGTGTACCAGAGCCTTCTCACTTGTTGGAGGAACCCCTCTCTGGTTGAACATATCATCAAGAGTGTACCAGGGTCTTCTCCCTCCTGTTGTAGGAACCACTCTCCGATTGACCAATGTCTTCAGAGGTGTACCAGGGCCTTCTAAATCTTATTGGAGTAAGTCCTCTCTAATTGACCATGTCATCAGAGGTGTACAGAGCCTTCTCACTCTTATTGGAGGAAGCCCTCTCTAATTGACCATGTCATCAGGGGTGTAGCAGGGCCTTCTCACTCTTGTTGGAGGAAGCCCTCTCTAATTGACCATGTCATAAAGGGTGTGGCAGGGCCTTCTCACTTTTGTTGGAGGAAGCCCTCTGTAATTGACCATGTCATAAAGGGTGTGGCAGGGCCTTCTCACTCTTGTTGGAGGAAGCCCTCTCTAATTGACCATATCATAAAGGGTGTAGCAGGGCCTTCTCACTATTGATTGACAACTTTTTCTGGGTTGTAGCTGTACTCACAACGCTTGGCCAATTGCGGGTAGGTGATACTATTTGACCAATAGTTGGGATGGATGGTCTTGAAATACAAGCCGTTCTTCTCCTAAATCGGTTGCCATCCAAGGCAAGGTGCCATCGAAGTACTCTGTATGTCTTGCTATTTTATCCATAGCTGAGGACATAATTTCATACCTTCCTCAAGAATATTTGCACGACTCCGACTGGAATTTGAACTCGGCTCTCCGATTCCTCAAATCATTACTCAACCGTACATGTCTCCACGAGATGTCGCATATGAAAGGTAGTTTTTGTTTGCTGAATTACCAAAAGAACTGACACAGGTTTATTGGCATAAGTCATTATTTTAACGCTTATTTCATACACATCTCTTTGCCATTTTGTTTTTAGATGCTTTTTTTTCTGAATACATTTTATTCATCGCCTCCAAAAAAATGTAAGGATTAAACAAGGTCGCCCGCCGTAGTAGTGTCGAACTGTAACAACATGGCGGACTTAACTACAAACGTTATATTTGCATATCATTGTAACATTACATTACATCGCCATTCTTCTTTGAATCCGTTCTTAAAGAATTTAACTTATGTCTATCTATAAAAGGGTGTGTGGTGTGTGTGTGTGTGTGTGTGTGTGTGTGTGTGTGTGTGTGTGTGTACGGCTGCAATTTTCGAAGGATTTGCACCAAAATTTACATGCACATGCTCCAAGTTAGCGGGAAGGCCAAGACCGACATTGCCTTTCCCAACTCCCATCGATAGTGAAAATAATCGATGTTTTCATGCTTCTACGGCAGTTTTCATGTAGTTTGCGGCCATTTTCTACTGGCCAGAGTGAAAGCAAAAAGCTGGCTACTACGAATAGGCAGGAAGATACTATTGGCCAGCAGGAGAGCCAACAGCTGCCCCGGCACGAATGTTAACTAGCATGTTAGCATGCAAAAAAAATCGATAGCTGCATTCGTCACAAGTGGGAAAAATTTAAATCTGCATGGCACTTTACTCTAATTGGCTCATTTGCTTGCTTAAACTCAACGTTGACTCTGATTCCGGAGAACTGGGTTGGGTGTGAAAACGTATTTGGTGTTAACATTCTTTTTTCATTCGGTTTTTCCAATTATGAGTCCTTTTTTAAAACTGATCGTTTTGTGTTCATTTTGTTTAGTTCTTTTTTCGTAACAGATTTAATGTTTTAGTATAGAGCTTAGAAAAAATTCACAGTGTGAGATAGGCAAGAAGTAAGGCATGTAGCAACATCAGCACGGCAAAGGGCACTCCTTTAAAAGCAAGGAAGTGCAAAAACATTTTGAGTCAAGTGATAGCGATTGCTGTATGAGTTGTACGATTTTTTAATCAAGCACGGGCAACGCCGGGCCATGCTGCCAGTGTCTATCTAAGACAAAGAGTATGTGCATGAAAAGAACCCAGATAAAAATGGAATGCTACCCGGCTTCGCCGGCTGACCGCACAAAGGTGAAGACATTAGGACTCCGCCTACCAGACAGACACACATACACAGTTACGAATACACATTACCATCCGATGCAAGCTTAGACATACAAGAATTTTTACAAGCTTACATATAGAATAATTTACATATTTAATGCAAGTGAATTGCGAGTAACCAATGAGAATTGACCCAAACAAAATTGAAAAATAACAACGTTCTGTATTTTGTCTGTCTTCTTTCAATGTCTGAAAGTGAAAGATGTTTATATAAGTTTCCTGTTTGTTCTTTATCTTATCATCATATAATTGTGAATAAAATCTTTCGTTACTGGTGTTGTTCATCACAGCTGGAAAACAATTATTATCTACAAAAAAAATGGATATAGAAAGATGCATATGAAATATTTAGAATTCGGAATTACATAAACCATAAAGGTTGACATGCTGCTAATCAAAAACAGCCAACTAAAATAAATTGAAACTAATTTTATTAATAGTGTTCTGCTTTCTTTTAATGTAAAAGACATCAAATATTTGGAATCGTTTTTTTTTTATTTTATTTTTTTTGCAGATGGCGTGGTAGGGAATTATATCGTATTGAATCAAAATCTGAAAGAAATTAACAGGTGAAAGAAAGAAATAAGGAAAAAACAAAGAAAGAAAGAAAGATAAAATGAGTGAAAGAAAAAAAGAAGGAAATAAGCAAAAAGTGAAAGAAAGTGTAGTGATACTAGCAAATTAGTATGCATAATTTGTATAAGCACAAGTGAACACTCATATAAGTGGTCACTGAGAATAACGCAGCAGTAAAACGAGCTTAGCGGCTCAAAATACCTACCTGGCACAGGGCTCGTACCTGGCGGGGGGGTATTATGGCTAGGACTAGCTTGGACTGGCACCGGCCTAGACCAGCAAGGACAAGCCAAGACCAGCTATGACTAGCTTAGACCAGCTCTGAACAGCTTGGACAAGCTATTACCAGCTATGACTAGCTTAGACCAGCTCTGAGCAGCTTGGACAAGCTAGGACCAGCTATGACTAGCTTAGACCAACTCTGATCAGCTTGGACAAGCTATGACCAGCTATGACTAGCTTAGACCAGCTCTGATCAGCTTGGACAAGCTATGACCAGCTATGACTAGCTTAGACCAGCTCTGACCAGCTTGGACAAGCTACGACCAGCAAAGACCAGTTTGGACCAGCGGCCCGAGTGAAAACATTCGGGTCCCCACGTTAAAAACGGACCTTGTGTCACAACCTGACTCAGTGTGTGTGGCGGGGGGGGGGGCAAGTAAATATCAAAACGAGCTTAGCGGCTGATTAGTGCTAGCCT